TTGGCTAGACAAATCAAATAGCATAAACCAATAATGAATACTTATTTATCAATTGCAGTTAAGGCAAAGAATTGATATGACCTTGCATACTGAATCTGAGTGCACCTAACCACTTGAGAATGTTAAAAATGTAAAAGACACACTGACTGGTTAAGGGCATCACTCTGACACCTTGACATGGGCATTTCAGGGTAGCAAATTATCATCTCTGCAAATCTCACCTGATTTACCTAAGCAGGTGATAACAAATGCACAATTCTTAATGCAGACTTTATGAATGAATCGAGAGCTTTCCACATATTAAATGGCTCAAGGTGTGAAATTTGTCAATGCAGTGTATATGTATAAAAGTGGCTGGCGTCGCCAAGTCATCAAAATTCAGAGAAGTAATTCTCTGTTACTCATTCCTACCTCAGGTGTCAATACACTTTAAAAGGATGAAGAATATTTTAATGTGAATATATTAACCCTCTGATTTCAGGCTAGTCACTTGACAGAAAATGAGAATTTTATTTTATGATTTACAATGTTGAACTTCTCCAAACTGATAGAAAATAAAATCAGACTGTGTGTGTACATATACTTGTACATGCATTACTGTCTAAAATATGACCGATTAATTTTTCAGCCAGCACTATAAATTTGAAATGAGTTGACATTTGATATGAATTAATGTAAAACAAATAATAGCAAAGTATTTTAATCAGAGTTCTGACCTTTTCATCATCAAAATTTCAAACATGTCGGTTCTTCATGCATGCCAGTACTGAAATTCTGAGCAAATTGCATATAAACAGGACAACTAGTTAGCTAGTTATAAAAAATGTACCATCAGTGCATAAACAATACAGAGATTATTTGTTAAGACATTTTATTGCAGGAAAAAGAAAGAAAAGTAAAATCTATTTAAATTATTCTTATTCATTCAGTTTAAGTCAACTCATAAATTATGAAACTGCTTTCAAAATATTCATAATGGATGAAAAATCATTATTAAAATTAATCATCTGTCTAAAAAGGTGACCAACATTTAGATACGAGCCTGAATGAAACAGGTTACCTGATACCCTTTGAAGGCATCACACAAAGAATAATTCAAGCAATAACTACCCCTTCACAATGTCAAATGTCAATCATGAGATCACGTCAATGACAAAGGGTATCTTTAACCAGTGAAAGTATGCTTCCTGAACCAGCAATATCTAGGACATCTTCATAAAGCATAAATAAAACTAAATTACAGAATACTGAGGTTACATTGTCATTCTTTGAAATTTATGGCTCAAGACATGTCTGTACTCTTAAAATTTTTCACAACCTTAAAAGACATTCAAAGTCATTCACAGCCGCTTTTTCAAATTTCAATGACTGGTCTGGTATTGCAGTCCTGATGAAAATTTCTCAGAAAACAGTCTCTTTATTGTGTGTTATATCTATAGAGGAATGATTATCTATTAATCCTCAACTAATCCTCAATAAAATAATTTGTATATTCTTTATAGCTATGACAAATATAGTGTTTAACTACTATCAATATACATTGCCAAAGAGGCTCTCCTTGACTTGACCCAGCAATAAATATCAATGTCGAGATACTTCTATCCATACAGACACTAAAGTATGCTTAGGATATTTAAAAAAAAACAAAAAACTGATATATGACTAGGAATCTAGACTAGGATTAAAATTTTCCTTAGATTTCTGCTTGTCAAATTATCAGTGTAGTAATTACTTTCCCAATTTTATGAATTTCTTCTATGTATTTCTTTGATAAAATTAACAAATTAAAAATAACAGAAATTAGCAAATTAAGATTTATACATTTACTTAAAAACAAAACACAACTCTTTTCTGGAAAAAGATTATGGGCTAAAAATTTAGATGCCAAGATTTTAGGAAAAAATCTTAAAAATAAAAAAAATACGTAGAATAAATAATACACATCAATAAAGGGTTACGAGAAAAATGAAAACATGTTTATTCTATCTGATTAACTGTGATCAAATTCTGAACATAAACATGGAACGACCAGCCATTAAAAGTCTATTTAGTGTTATTTTAAAGGCCATATCCAGAGCTTCCACAAGGATTAGGTTATGTAAGTATATAGGTCTCCCAGAGAAAGATCAAGTGATTTTTATCTACCCTCTTTCAATTGGATTTTTAGCTGAGAGAAAGTTATATTAAATATCGAAAGAAATCTAAGGCCAGGTAAAATTAATCTTTAGATTCTCATCCCCGCCCGCCCCTCTCAAAGTGCCCCGCCCCGTTGTTTTTTATTTTGCTTTTTCGGTGCCAAACGTATTATTTTCATGTATTTTTATTCAGCAAGAATCTGGGTCAAAATTTAAGAGTTATCTCCCGTCTGTATTAAAAGTCGCGTGGCGCTATTTATAGCAAAAAAAACTATGTGAAGAATGGAGAAATATCGGCAATAAAAGCAGTTTAAATATGTAAGGAAAAGATAATTTATCAGTAATGAGAAGGCAGAAAAGCAAAAATAACATATAAACACATCTAGATACCATCACTGGTATGGGCAAGTTTTTAAAGAGATTTTAACTGAGTAAAAACAGACGAAGAAAATGCACATGCATGGTCAAGTTTTAAATAACGATCTCCAGTTAGATGTGATTTTGCATTTAAAAAATAAAACATCGTCCAAAGACTTTAGAGAATAACAGTGCTAAGGAAATGTTAAATCTTAAAATTGTTCAGGCCTAGGCTTTTCAGTAGAATATTTTACAGATTTACACAATCCTGATTTGCAAATATGATATATTTAATGTCGAACATGTCGAGTCTCAAGAACGATTGAATGTATGAGGACAGTGGAAATCTGTGATATCTTTATATCACACAGAACAGAAGGTTGTTGGTAAAACTATAAGGTATTTGGGGAAAGGCCGATGAGAAAATATGCATATGCAATTTATTAGGATCAGCACCTCATTTTGTTTGGCTTGTGCCGTATAGATCTGTGTACTTGATTATTTGTTAATAAAACTATAAATATTTTAATTTTCTATAACAAGAATCTTCTGTAGATATTTAAAAGAATATGAAAACAATAAAATCTATTCATATTGGCATTAACATAATGTAAAAATTAAGTGTACACGAATGTGTTGTTGATACATGTACTTTCATTTATAAAAAAATAAAAAATAAAATCCGCCCACCCGCCCCAATTTTTCAGCAAATTAGGATGAGAATCTAAATTTTAAATTTATATGGCCTAATATATAAGAACAAACTTTGCTGTGCATGAAGCTAGTTTATTTCCCTTATCTTGCCTCAGAGAACAAAATATGTGTAATATTCTTTTAAAATCATAATTACATGTATTATAATAATTCTTTTTTTGGGGGGGGGGGGAGGGGGGGGGGTAAAATTTAAGTTTAACAATAAATCTATCGATTTCAAAGTGCCTGGATCCAACAAACAGCTTTGACTTTCTTTTAGCAATGTAAGATTGAGAGCCAAGAGATCATTGAACAGGCTCTTGAGTAAGCTACTGTAAATGTATGATTGTGTAAAGTTTAATGAATGATTATGTAAAGTAAATAAATGGAGACAGAAAAAACCCTGAGCTTACACAGAAAAGATAATTCACATTTTGAATGCATCTTTAATTTACTTTTTTGTTTTAGTAGAAAAATTTGAGTTTCACAGGACTTTCAGCAATATATCAGAAAATGCTATATATAAACCAAATTTCACTGGTATATTGTCATAGCAGCATGCAATCCATATTAAGAAAAGACAATTCCACACAGCTGACAGAGACAACTACTCCATGTAAGTCTAATAGATACAAGCTAGATTCTACACTGCATTATATGAAAATAAAGCTATAATGGCTCTGCACTTTGAAAACAAATTATCTTCAGAAATGTTACGAAAATACATCAAAAAGCTTAAAATAAAAAAAAAAATCAAGGAAACAGTATGATATATAGCAGATTAACTTTAAAATTTCTTTGAAAGAGTGATATGCATTTTAATCTCTCCTTCCTATCAATGAGCTTAATAACTGCTCAGGTCTGCTACCCAGTCAGTGGACAAATCTTTATGACTTTAATAGTTATTCTGGTAAAAGAGCATCCATATACAATCTAGTAAATGTGATAGATGTTTAAGAGAGTCAGGGAATCTACCACTGATAACACAGGACTTATGTAAATTTGTTCTAACCAAGGTCTTCTCGTGACAAATGTTTGTCACTTGTTTGCAGGATCATTATTTACATACCTTGCTTCAAAATGATGCATCAGTTGAAGTGCTCCCTTGTAAATTAAATCTCTGATTACCATTTCTGCATTTTTTTATAATAATGCTGCATACCTTTTCACTTAGATCATATTAACATGACATACTTTGGAGACAAAACAAAGCTATGAAATATGAAATATTTGCCGATTCAGTGGCGGGAGGTAAGAAAAGGAAGATTACACCATCCACCTGAGTCCTAATGTCAATAAAGTCTACAATTTCTAAATTGCAGCACATGAGACATAAATTTGATTCACCACATTTTTTAAATAATCTGCAGGAATCATCTTACTTTTCTTGGGGGATTCCTACACATTTAAACTGCATTTTCTGATGTTGAAAGATGTTTTATGAATTAAAGTTATAAAATTCAGCCCAAATATAAGCATATCACTTCCTTTTGATGATCTCTAAAAACACTCAGTTTCTAAAAATCATATTAACAATGCATACACTTTCTCTTTCAGTGTGATCCAACATGGCCATATCATATATCACAATTTTCAATTACAGTGAATGGTGCATTTAGGAGATTTTATGCTGCATTAGTTTCAGTCATTGAACAAATCTACAGCAATACTGCTTTGCTGCGATTATGCCCTTTTATGACATGCAAAGTTCCAGCAGCTATTCTCAATTTTGTTTGAATGTGATAGTTGATTTTCATGTTTCTAAATTTATGACATATATTGAAAAAAAATATATAGAGATTGAAGAAAACTTACCCTGAGTATTTCCAGAACATTTGGCCTCACAGTCTTCTTTGGTACTGAATCTGTTATCATTTCCTTCACACCCCCCATACCAAAATCTCTCACACCTTCTGGAGGTACTGTTGTAGAAATGGAGCACAGTATAGTTTCTGCATGGTCCTCTCTCTGGTTTCAAACTGCAGAAATCTGCCACAACAGGAGAAGAAATGAGAATAAAGATCACACTAATTCCAATGATCCCACATAGGACATTTTGAGGTAGTATCCACTTGTTCATCATCAGTTATTTTTGCTGATGCTTTCTTCCTTAACACTGTAGTAAATTAAGATGGGACTACTATTGCACACACACCAACATCCAAAATCTCCCTTATGGAGAGAGAGAGAGAAAAAAAATTCACAAAACTTAATCAATATAATAATCCCTCTGAATCCAACTATCAACAGGAACTCAGACAGTAATAATTCCAATGTAAATCAACTCTGTATAAAATTTCCGCTCATGCTACAACTAAACCTTTATTTCTGAACAGTTAAAAATTCCACATACTAAAAATACAACTCGAAAAAAAATCCAATGAACACTAGGCTACTGTACTTTAAAAAAAAATTCACCACTGTAATGAGAGTATTTAAAATAAGTTATAATATACGGAAAAGAAATATCCCCAGCTTGTCTCACGTTTTAAATCCCCATAACACAATATTGGTCAGCTCTTGTCATGGATTTCTACACCCGGTCACACACTATTATGATCCGCATTACATTAATGGGCCCCTAGACCAAAAAGAGGTGGGAAACACTATTTCCTTTACGAGTTGAAGCTCTTTGTATGTTTATTATCTAGAAACTCCTCCCACTCGACCTAGCTGGCATTATAAGCAAAGAGACAGACTTTTTAGGGTCTTTACCTGACCAAGATAAAATGCCATTCAGAGTGTGCTACTTTAATGAAAACCTGATTACCATGAATTCAGGTGGCTGTTAAAATTCTTGCTTTTTATATCATAGCATTTCCTAATATGAAACTGCAATTCAACACTTATTTCTATGTCAGGGCTAACTCTCAAGCTTTAAGGGTTTTAAACAAACAAGCTTAGGGATGATAAAATGAATACTATGTACAAAGTGTGCAAAGTTGGTAAACATTTCTTATATAACCCTCTCTTTGAGAACTAATCCCAGTCGTGTTTGGAGGAACCCTCTTATGTTGTCTCATCATTTGCTTGGTCTGGCATCTACCTGTAATCAGTTGTCTTATTCTCTGTCTGAAAGTCTCTCATAAATATATTGAAAAACCACAGAACCTTGAATAATTCAGAGAAACTGGTTTATACAGGTAAATCTTTATCATTGAGAAAATCTCTGGTACACACTATATTAGAGTGAAAAAAAATTCTTTGAAACTGAATGAATTCACAAATCATACCATGAAATTTTTCATGGCATGATCCTCTTTCTTACAGGTAAATGCAGGTGTAAGACATTATGACCAACACTGTAAAAACCCTACCGGGTATTTAAAAATAACAATAATTCCGTAACTCTGTTTAGTGGAAAACCTATCGTAAATGATATCTTGTAAGCAGATTATAATATCTTCCTCTTCCTTAAGTTACGTAAATTACCTGAGTATTCATTCATTACCTAATTGGTTGAGATATTTAAATCTCCTACTATCCTTAGTACAAAGAAAGATTTCATGCAGTTAAACTAAATTTCATAATACCACTCAAAAAAATATCTTGTGTATTGTCCATGTGTTTCATTATTGGTTTTAATCTTTCATCTTTCTCAGTCTGGGGCAACAGAGACCATATAAAACTTTTAACAGTGCTATCTAACAGAAGATTAAATCTCTCCCCAACAATACCGAGCTTGATGACTATCTTTTTTCGATCTACTTTTTACAATAAAGCCTGTTCATTCTGACCCCAAAAGTCTGATCCAATAAGATCAGGTCCCTACATAAGGATGAAGATTTTCAAATTAATTATTGAAGCCACAACTGATTCTTTTGATCAGAATGAAAGATTTTTTTCCCGGGTCCTTCCAGCTCACAATATCTGAAGTTTATTCTGAATTTTACAGTTATTAGCTACTTGATGTATTGAATACACACAATGATGATGTCTGTAAACATAAGGAATCGGAGACACACTAGTCCATAAGAGCCTGAGGGACATAGATTTACATTCTAGATATCATCAGTATTATGTAAGAATTCAAATGATTAGTAATGAACCAACAAATTAAGAGAGGAGTAATGTACATTTAAGGGTCTTTACTACACTCTATGGTGAAGTTAAAATGGTATATGTCTGATCATATATCTTTAAAATCTTCTATATCTTATGCAACTTTTGAATATACAGAATCTAGTTAGGTCATTTGAAACAACAATTAAAAAAATGTATGCAACTGCATCATACATACAGGTTTTTAACTGCATTTAAGGCATGTTCACTGTGGATTGAAAGTTGTTTTTAAAGTTTTTTTTTTCTTGGGTGGGGGTGGTGTGGGAGGGGGATGTCATAAATTGCCTCACAGCACTAGGTATATATTTATCTATTAGTATAGGATATATGTTAACACAAACAAAAAAAAAATCAACAATTTTCCTCTTTGAACATTACAATTTTAATGTGATAATTTCAGGGCATTACAGCATGAACACCTATGAATAGACACCAGGTGTTAGGAAGGCTGATATAAACTCTAAATTAGGACATAAAGCCATTACTTATAGCCAGGCCAGGGTAGACCACAAAGAACCGAGGAAGGCTTTTCTAATGGGAGAAGTAACATGTGGTGTCCTAGCAGCCATAACTATTTAGGGGGAATAAAAATGTCTGGACTGTGTCTGATTCTGTGTACAAAACACCTGTCTAAATTAATAAGTTCTTATGCAATTTTATGCATTATGTTTACATTGAATTGTTACCAAAATGCTCAGATTTTGGGGGACTTGGATATTCCTCATTTCTGTTTCATTGAAGATGATGACTGAAAGACAGTTTTTGAACAAAGCAAATCAATAGTAGAAGTTCATTGGTTGTCTTGTGTACCTAAAAAATTCACATATTGGATATGTTATTGAAATAACATAAAATGTGAAAAGTTCTCAAAGTCAGGTGTAAGATAGATGCCAAACATCCTTCAATCAGGAGAGCTCACTAGAACTAAAAAATTACTCACATATGCAGATTTCAACAAGAATTAATAAGATATAATAATTAAATATTAGTTAGAAAACCTTACTTAAAAATTAAATAAAATGAGAGATCTTGTGGACTTTCAACTTTGTATTCTCCAAATATGCACATTTTACTCATCAACATCAAAGAGAAAAATAGCTAGAATCTAAAAGTATATACTACTTCAATGAAAATAAAAGTATTTTTTTAAACACCTCCACAAATGTATGTACTCAGAAAAAGCTTACTATGATGTAGTATTTCCTTAGAAAAGAGGGTCAACAAACACCTGGGTACTTGTGCTTTAAGATTGCATTTCATTCATTTAATATTTGAATGAGACAATTTGGCTTCATAATAAAACATGAGAAAACTCGATTCGATTAATACGGGAACATGAAAAGGACTGTGCTGTTAATAATGAGATTAGTCGTCTTTTGTTCTTTGAGATGAGTCAAGTGACTACTTAATGCACTTGACATAAGTGGGCTAAATATGTACTAATGAGGTCATCTGGAGATTATATCCATCAGGTGGCACTTTAAGATATCATATCCCCTCCAAAACTGCGTCTCTGTTATTTTGAATGTCTATTTCCATGCAAGTGACTGAAATTGGAACCCAAGCACTACATATTGCCCCCCTCCCAAGTTAACAACTTGAGACATCCACAGAAATACTCCAGAAATTATTAAATAGAACAAAACAATCTATATACAGTATCCAGGTATCTGCTGCTGTTAAATTATATTTTTCAATAATCAAGTCACTATAGAGTATTTAACAGATATCATAAAAGTAGGAAACACATTCGATTTTATCTTTAAAAAAATAATTAAAAATTTGGCAAAACTTGGCCTTTGACATATTTTGCTAAAGAATCAGTAATTGTATGGTAAACCCATAGATCACTCAATGATAAATTCTTTTTTTTTTTTTGGGGGGGGGGGGGGGGGGAAGGCCAACTAAAAACTTGGTACACAATTTTACATTCCTTAATTCGCTAATGGGGAAAAAACATTTTTATATTCAACATCAATTTGGATTTGTAAATCTATATGGCGCCTGTATATGTAGATGTTCATCCTTTCTTAACCTTGAACTTCATTTCACTGTAAGTCCTGACAAGGTTTTCCCACAATTTGTTGAAAACTCAGATTATTTGTAAGGATTGAATTGAGAACTTACAGAACTGGAAAAAAAAATTTACTTTTCTGTTATTATGGACAACTTTCGTTTTATTGCCAAAACCATACACATACAAAGTTACTTCTTTCAAAAAAGGCACATTTTTTGTAATTAGTAATTTACAGCTTTATAAAACATCTTTTGACGCATGAAGCACAAAAATTTTTTTTTTAAAATTCCCCCTTCTTACAAAAAAATAAAGCATCTTTAAAAACTGGAGCAAGCCATTTGACCTTTTTGTCCAAAATAAATTGTCATTAAGGACTCTGGTGGTCACTTGACAAAGTTATTGGTGTCAACAGTATCCAATTAAAACCAAGTGGTCATGGCAGATCTGTTCATTCAAGTGACCTTAAACAATGTTTGACCATGTATATTATCTTAAATGAGATTGCTTTCCTTTACAAATTATGAAATTTGGCTTAAAAAAATCGAATGGCTTTAGACCTTTAATGTGCTGAATCAGCATTTTTTTCAGATTTATAATTAAGCATTAGCTGTTTTGAAGCAGTATATTCCAATTAATCTTCGTAAAAATGGACCTAATACATATACTTTGCTAATATATATATCAAAGCAAGTATTGTTGTACAAATAGCTTAGCAAATTTAGCCTTCTACATTGATTCAGCAATATTTGGGTTTTATTGGTCTCATTACATGTAATACTTGTAGCTCTTAGTCCTGGTACATAATGCAAAAAAAAGCAACCAAGACAACTTTGTTTTAAAGCATGAGCTTTCATCAAAGTAAAATCAAGATTCTCTGTCCTGATCTCATTCAAATCTGTAATATTAATAC